TTCCGTTCTCTACCAGGAAATGCACTTAACTAAGAGATTTTCAATTCAAAGGATTGTGAGAGCGCAGGTGTTAAGCACTCATCTCTTCAAGCTACTCTAGTAGCCCAATACAGGAATGGTTTAGGTTCAATTTCTAATGAAAAAGCAATAGGTTACCTTTGAGGTGATGTAATTAGGCCTTAGATACTAATTTCCCCAAGTATCTCACCTCTTTACCTCTTTTTCTCAGTCTAGGAGAATTTGATAATGCAAGTTCTCCATGGTCTCGGAACTTCAAACAAACCAGAAATTATAAACTCGAGCTAAAAAAGGAGTGAGAGGCTTACCTCTTGTGTGGAACCATGGAAAAGGTTTTCTAGTAGTTAGAATGAGTTAGAATGAAACCTGAATAGGCTATTGAGTTAGAGAGTACTTCTGGTTGCAAATCTTCAGCCTGAGAGCAGAGGGGCAAATTCAAAGTTTAAGGTTCACATGCTTGGGGATTTTAASTAAATGAGGGTTTTATAGAGGCAAGATATGCTTCTCAGGCCTCTCCCCCTTTTTCCTCTCTTCTCAAGTCTACTTCTATAGATTGAGTTGGCCACTTTTTATAGAGAAAAGAAAGGAACATGTCTGAAATTTGCCCAATCAAAGAGTTTGGGCTTCAAGACAACTTTTTTAAGTAAAAGGTAAAGATTTTTCAAAGAAAATGGGGCTTAGTTGACTTTTCCTTTTTGGTGAAAGGATTATCCTTGATTTATGGTTGATTTTCACAGGTTTTGTGTGTCAATTGAGGTTTTGGGGCATGCCTACCATTGCAATATCGTATTTGGGGTTAGTGGCATAAAATGTAAATTTAAATCACCCATAACAATAATTTTGTCTTTTATTGGTTTTAAGTAGGGATATCTTTGGGATTTTAGGATTTTTAAATATACTAGGCCTAATTTTATTGGTATAAGTGTTTAATAGGTTAAGTATGGATCTGACATCAGTCATCGCCCTTTTGATGTTTCAAGTTRGAACAAATGAAGTGACAATTTAATCTGGAACATTTGAATGAAATCTTTATAGTTTAACAATCAAACGAGAGAATTAGGTCATGAAACTTGATGTGTTGGGGTTTTTTTGGGTCTTTGAACATAATGGTGAGGTCTGATTGGATAAGTGCAATTGGGATGCTAGAGTTCTATGGCTAGTAAGCTTTAATTAACGAGATTTGCCGAAATAGAATTTTGGCTTGATTGAAGGTCAAATGAGAGAATCTTAGGATGAGATTTGGTGGATGAACGTTTTTGAATGTCTCAAATCTGATGGAAGTGATGGATATTTGATTAAAGGTATGGATTATAGGATTTTGTTAAGGTTCTATTAGCATATGGTTTATTAATTAATAAAGAGGCTTAAAATGGAATCTCACTTTTCTAATAGTCAAACGAAGGAGTTTTGATGTGTTGGGGACTTTTTTGGTTTTTGAACATAGTGGTGAGGTCTGATTGGTCAAACAAGGATATGATGGTGAAGATCTACGGTTGGTAAGCTTTGATCAACGAGATTTATTGAAACAAAATCTTTGCATGATGGAGGGTCAAACGAGGTAATTTTGGTATTAAATTTGGCATGTGGGCATGGATTAAGGTGAGGAATCAGGTGGATGGTTCTGATTTGAGAAAGAATTGATTGGTCTTGGTTGTCTATCTTTATTAGCTTTTGGTCAAGGCTATCGAAATAGAGTCTTATTGTTTTCAATGTTGATCATCATGGATTTGAGGTGAGATTTGGAGGTTTATTGTATTTTAGTATCCTTAATGAAATTAATGTGTTGGATTTGGATTTGGGTTACCAAGATTTGAACATCGCGTAGATCAAACTATTGGAAAGGGGGTTGATGTGATGAACAATAGATCTTTAGAGTTTGGTTATGAAATTTAACACATAATTGTGAAGTTTCAGATAAAAAGGGATTTTATAGGTTTTGATAGGTCTCGGGTTGATTTGTTTTTCTTTTSAAATTTTGGGTCTAAAAAAGAGAGTTTAAGGAGGTAGGGTGAAGGGGCCGAGCAATAATTCGGTGCTAGCAGCATCAAAAAATTCAATTGTTCATGTCTTATAGGCACCCAAAAGTCGGATTGGTTGTAAGGTTTTGCTAGAACCCATAAATCCAATTGTTTAGTAGAATTCTCAAGAGGGTTCTCGAGGGGAGGCCATAGGGTGAGGTTTGGATGAACCTCTATAAAAATCCTTGTATGCTTGCTACAATCAATCACTTTACTTGTTTATCTTTACTTATTTGATTATTCCAATATGTGCATTGTATTGCATAGCACGCATACACACTCACACAATCTTCCATTCCATCAAATTTTTGTTCATTGTCTTAAAAGGCTTTAGTTGGGAAAAATATTTTTTATAGCCACTTCACCCTCTCTTGGTTTAGAATATTTGTGCAACAAAGAAAAGTAGAAAGACTACAATCATTAGCGAGCTAATTTGAAGGAACCTAAGGGTAGCTTAATTATGTAGTCCAATTATGGATAAGGAAATAAGATAATATTTAATGCAAGTACATCTATTGAAAGCTCTAAGCCTAAATGACCTACAATGGAATTCTTTTCATCTTTTTTAGATGATGCAAGTCCTAGTCCATGTGAAGTGGTTAAAGAATTTTTTAGAGAAGGCAAGTTATGTAACATGTTTTTTCAACAAAAAAAAAGTTGTGTAACATGGCTTACAAGGTTATAATGAAAATTGTTATAAATAGAATGAGAGATTTTTTTTTTGACAAAATTATATCACCTTGGTACAATGCTTTTATTCTAAGAAGGCAAATGTTTAAACGTACTACTAACTCAAGATGTGATGAACTCAGTTAAAGAAAAAGGAATAGAAGTAGGTAAAGTTAAGAGGTGGAAAAAGCTTATGATAGAATTGAGTGAACCTATATAGAAGTTCCATTAGCTCGGTGTTTATCAAACTTGAGTTGATAGTATCATGAAGTGCATTAAAACTCTATGTTTCACTTTTCTAGTAAATGGCAACAAAGTAGATAACATGCATAAAGCTTAGTAGAGGCCCCTAAATAGGGGTACAACTCCAACCTGAGCCCAACTCAAGGTTTTGAATGTGTTGGGCTTGGGCCAGAAAACTCAGGCCTGGCCTAACACAACCCAAGTCAAACCCAACTTGATATCACTTGAAAAAAATACATAATTATGTGTATTATATTTATATAAACTATCTTTTTCTAATTATACATACATGTGTATATGTATAAATTATGTTTATGTAAATTTGTAAATGAAATTTGTACATTTTTTCAATCAATTCTACTTTTAAATTGAACCATAAGCCCAATAAAAGATGACTATGTAAAAATATATAAATAAGTTCTTTTAATGTAAGTATGTGGATTCATGCTCTTTGGAGATTGTGCCGAGGACACTCGAGTAAGTGACAATAGCACACTCACAATGCCAAGTTTCCATACTTGAGCAGCAATTGAATAATGTTGAAGAACACCCACATATGACTTACAACTCAAGAATCCTCACAACAAAGTCCTATCTAAGTGTTAATCGCAACAAATAGACATCCTTGTGATGAGACGTAGTAAATCATGGTCGCAATGCAAAATGCAATTGAGCTTATCTCAAACACTAGTGTCTTGTGATTTAGCACCAAACTACAACAACGTAATGTGTTAACTAGCGTAACAATGCCACAAGCAAATGGCTAAGGTGTTAGAGGCTTCTAGAAGTAGGGTTGTAGTTGGAGTCGGGTTCACGTGTAGATTTTGAGAGGAGGGGCAGGGGCCCAGATCCTAGGATCTCTCTACAACACATGGCCAAACCCTACTTGTTCCCTTTCTACCTCATATATAATAGAATAATAAACTTTCCCACTTTGGGGAAAGTTCCCTCTTATGCTGTGTGATTTTCCTATTCGATTAGGGAGACTCCTTTATAAATAAAGGCCCAAAGCTCTTAAGAAACTACATAGTCATCGTCTTGCATAAGCTCTTCTGGACTACATCCTCAACCTCCATTATAGCCCCCATCACAACCTTCTGCAACCCACCCTCCTGCCTTCTTCCTCCTCTTAGGTCATCTATGCACCGTCTTTCAGGTATACCCTTACTCTTGCTTTAGCCACCTATATACCGTTTACACCTGGATTTAGCCACTTCACAACCAACCACCTTCTACCTTACCTAGGCACTTCATTTAGGCCCAATGCAACGCCTGAAGTGCTAATTTGTGCAAGAACGAGAGAGGGTATTTGGCTTTGTAATGGACTTGTGCCAACCTCTGGTGTTCACACACCCTTTTAATCACCTCCGAACCATGAAGCCATTTCCATTCAATGTTATGAAGGGAAACTATATATACATTGCAACTACACATCATAACAACTTATAAGTTAACCTAATCATCATGAATCTTGCTATCTTCTACAGAAAAGTAAACATACGGTGAACTCATGTTCATGATTATGAATAGTTATAATTTGGGTTTGTTCATAAGATTTTTCATCTAAAATTTTAAACTGAAGTTAGATGTAGGTTGGAGACAATTTTCTTTATTTCAGTTTTGGGTAGAAATCCAAATGATATAAACTTAAAAATGATGGATCTCAGCCATATGTGTTTTGACAGGAAATGAGCTAGTAACTATGATGATTGACTGTTAAATTTCTACATAATGGTTTAGGCTACCAACAAAGTATGAGTTTCATATCATACCAAGCCAACACTCAAATTCAAATTCCATTTTAGATCCATCTGATAGCTATGAACTTGGGTAGTGTTGGGTTAGGTCTAGGACGAACTAGACCCAATCCTAAGACTTGGACTAAGCTTGAGTGTAGTCCAACCTAAACCCTTAACACAACTGAGGTTGATTGTAACTTTTTGGTGTATGGTCATTCAGAGAGAAATGAGACTTCATTGGGGGCCATCAATAAATAAACATTGAAATAAATGTTGTTACCTATTTCTTTCCTACATAAAATATACAAAGACATTATTGTTCTTCAAACTCTTTATCTACATTCTCAACTAAGCAACTAAAATAACCAAGTTCACATTATTATATACAAGTTCATTACTCTAAAGAAGAGAATCCAATCTTGTTATAAAAGCTTCTTCATGGCCAACTTACAAGTCATCCATCTGATATTCGTTGATATTGAAGTCCGGGTCCATGAGTACTTCACCACCTTGACTCTATAAATAGAAAGAAAGAAAGTTTAATTAGTGAGGAGAACTACCAGGATTTAAACAAAATAATCTAGAGGGAAGCCATCTTTCCAACAGTAAAGAAAATTAAGACAGGTTTTAAATAAATAAGCATTGTACATGCCTGATCATCCTGATCCACTTGATTGAGGATAGCGCAGAGATCATTAATTTCATCAAATGGTTGCATAGCTGAAGTGTTTTCAATGTCAGGGCTGCTTGTTACAAGGTCTAAGAGGCTATCAAGTTCACTTTCAAACTCGGTTAAGTTTGGTCTTTTCTGTTCAGGCAATGGCTGTAGTGGTAGTGGAAGTTGTTGCTTTTGAATCACATTGGGGAATGATGGCACTAGAGATTGTTGTTGTTGTTGATTACTCACATTGAGGAATGATTGGATCGAAGGTTGTTGTTTCTGAATCACACAAGGAAACATCATCTGAAAATGGTTTGCACATTGGGAACCACACGAAGAATCCAATCCTTGAGGAGAAAAACCAGAACGAAATGAGCCAAACTCGAGAAATGGAGGATATTTCCCAGTTGCTGTGACAATTCCCTTGCCTTTTTGCATCTCATTCATGGAGTTGTAGCTACCACTCATACTCTTTGATGGTCTATTAGCAAAGAGCACAGTTTTACCAAATCCAACTGGCTCTCCAGCACTTGCAATCTGAATTCCAGCATGGTTATAATTGGTGTAATTGAAATAAGGGACCTGGTTATGGTTGTTGGATGACCCCATGTTTCTATTAACTAGTGAGCTACTGGCAAATGGTCTCGATTGCATCTGAGGCTGTTGATGGTTCATCTGCACTATATCTTCACCACTTCTATGACTATTTGAAGTATCACCGAGCAAGGAAGATGTTGTGACAATGTGGGATCTCACTTCAAAACCTGAATGTTTGGTACCATTTCGTTGATCAAGAGATGATTCAAGAAAATTAGATTTCTTCAGGTTCCCCTGATTGCTAGCTGAAATTGAATGTTCATGTAATTGAGACATTGGAGAACTTCCGTGTCTTGGCCTGAATGACATTCCAGTAAATTGTTGAGTATCCTGCAACTCTGGAAGTCTACCTTGTAAGTGGAGCACTAGTGAAGGATGACCTACTGCAAAGCTTGATTTACTAATCAAGGATCTTGCTACACTTGGTTCAGGAGCTTGGCTTGCTTGCTTAAGTCGCTTTAAGAAGATGCGGTATTTCTACAGATTGTGATGAGTATTGCCACCATTGTCCATAAATAAGGTGAGGGAAAAACCATATTAGAAACATTAATTTAAGGATTCAACTCTAAATAAGCCTACCAAATTCACTGTATTCAAATAAATAAACCTAGTATATCAAGAAAAAAATAACCTTTTTCAACCTAGGAAACCTACTTTTTATTTTATGTGATTGCTAACCATATGATGGCTTATAATGATAAGAAACACACAAATATGTCAAAGCACAACAAAACTCACATATACATGCATTCAATTCCAGGGAATGTAAAAACCATGAATATGAAACATGAAGGGTCTAAATCTGATTCGAAAAATGTAGAATGAAAGAAAAATACCATATTAAAGATATGGAGCAAAACTATTTAGCTGAAACTCTTTAACACATAGTTAATTTATGCATCATACAGTTATCATGATGATTTCTAGAGCATGACATTTAAATAATAGCATGCTAAGTATTTTAACTAATTATAAAATGCATGCCAAAGAATATCATTATACATTATCCAATAACTTAAGATGCTTAACTTTACATGTAAAATATTGCTTTGGTTAGAGAATAAAAGCCTATTCAGGAACCTCCACTTGTTCTTATCCACACTTCAAGCCCAATGGGCTTTCATGAAAGKGGGTGTGTTAGAGAATAAAAACCTTTTCAGAATCTTTACCTAACAAATTAAGCTTTTAGGTTGAATGGTTCCTTGTAGTGTAGTAGTGAAAATTTGGGATATAGTATCTCCAATGTCTTGTTTGCACATAGCATAAACAAGACATTGGATAAAATTTGGGTTCATTCCCATCAAAGTCTTATCTAAAATGAAAAAATCAAATAAACCTCTTGTAACTTTTGTTTCCTTTCTTGCTAAACAAGCATTTAGTTGTGTTATGATTTGCCTTGGTTTTAATTTATGAAGTATAACTGTACAAGAGAAACAATACAATTTCGAAACGCTACTTTTGTTCTTCACATTTTTCTACTACTTGAAGCAAATGATTTTTCTTTGAATTTTGGATTAACTTCAATATTATTACTTTAAAAAATCACTAGTGTCATTCCTATTTTACCAAACATACATGGCACCGTTTTATTTTTCTTCATTCTACTGTAAACAAAATGGAAGTTACAAATGTGTTGCACACTTTATGGTACCGAATAATAGTCTTTGGTGTTATTGTGAATCACTATCCTATCATCCATGTTGCACAAGAAACATTGAAACTTTTTCATGTTATGCTTTTATAGACTCTGATCTTCAATGTTACCAGTCAAATCATTGGATTGTTGATTTGTGATATAAAAATCCATTGATACTATTGCATTGTGACATGAAAACCTAATGTATGTAACATTGAACAATTGTATAGTGATTTTAGATACAAAGATAGTTTTCTTTGTTTTGGAAAAATGCAATCTTAAGATACTAAGGCTGCATTTGGAAACGATGCAAATGGAGTGTAAATCCCGGTTCAGGGTAAATTTGCATTCTGGTTCACTTTTGCCGGTGTTTGGCAACATTACATTTATGTATTTACAAATGACAGATCAATGCATATTTACATTGATAATAAGATGTAAAAGTACATCAATAAAAAAGAAGTAAATTTGCATTCAAGTTGGCTTTTGATAAAAAAAAGCATATGCTTTTTTGAAATTCATGTTTGCATCCATTACGACTAAAAGTCTGTTTGGTAAGAAAGTAAATTTGTCAGTGCAAAACTAACCCAACTTTGCAATTTATATGAACCATTTTACACTCTATATATTTGCACTCACATTTATTTGCATTGTTTCCAAGCACAGCCTAAGGTAGTGAAAATACTATTTAGTTTCCTTAACACATTTTGCTTGCTACTAATTTTATATTTCACGAAAAAACATATATGTTTAAAAAATTGTATCGGGCATTTTAGCATGGTAATTAGTAAGTTTGTAAGGAAGAATGTTTTACTTATTGGTTATTATTTTATAGTACAGTCAGAAATTTTTGTACAATAGTTTTTGTTTTGTTTTTTTCTACAAATACAACAAATTCTTTTAAAAAGTTATATTCTAAATTTCATGCACAATGGCAACACAAAGTTATATAAAAGAGTTATTCTTTCCTTCCTAAAACTAAATCTTTATGGAAATATATAAAAGGGCGCATCTTAGTTTTGAATACCCACCATTTGACTCTAGGGATGTGGGGACAAATTTGTGGGCTTAAAGAAGAGGTTTTGCAGCATATTTGGTTGGTAGAGGCAACACTAGATTTTGGTATAATGGCTGGTCAAAATTGATATGTAGTGCCCACTATATTTGTAGGCATCAAACCTAGCTTGAAACTGTAAACCATGCACTGAGTTTGAATAATAACCAACAATTGAAGGAAGGATTGATTAGTGAGTTCTTTAGGTTTTTCCGTTGGACTTTAGATATTTGACCAAGGGTGTTAACCCTCTATATATAGTTCCAATATGGATTAGCCTCCCTTGGCTCCTTGTTAATCTTTACAAGGATATTTGAGATCTATAGCTCAGGTAGTAGAGAGAGTTTTGAGAATCAATCTAACTATATTGCAATTGCAAAGAGAAGGAAAAGGTAGTCTTTCAGCCTATTGGAAATATCTTGGATTTAGATTCCAACCTTTGCATAGATGGTGAACATGTTATTACACCAATGGTTAAATCACAGTAGGATCTGAATGATGCAATGACAAACAGTATGGATTAGTTGAATCAAGTTGCCAAGAAAGCTATGGATAGAGAAAGGATTAGAAATATCTTAGGTGAAATTTTTGTTTTGTCTCACAAATCATTGCAGTTTAGTTCTTTTATGCTTAGGATTTCTCGATTAGTGGAGACAGAAACAACATAAGGACTCTTGTTAAGAACCAAAGACTAGAACTTCAAAAAGAAAATATTAGGGCGGTTGTGCTAGTTGAGAAGGAAAAGATATGGGTGTAGTGAATTCCCACCAGGTGTTTGAAAAGGTGAATGACTCCGCTCCGTGATTAATCAAGATGTAGCACTAGTAGTGACAGATGATTTGGCTAATGATAGTGAATTGGAATATGAACTTGAAATATAGAAATTAAGTATAGCGAATTGGAGACAGATTAATGAAACCCTACAAAGAAGTATTGTATGAGAACTGACTAGTCACTTGTTTCTCCTATGGAAAAATCAAATTTGTAGCAAAGAAGCTGAAGTTCATTCTACGAGAAAATACATGCAAGTTCAATGTGGAACAAGCAACTTTGCCTCCAACGGCACAAATACAAGTCCATAGGCCTTCAAAGCCAAACAAAGGTTTCAACCGTCGATATCATTAGTATATTTGAGGGGCAAGGTGTGATCATTCATAAAATTGTCTTTTCTTCTTTAAAGACAAAAAAAAAAAAAAAACTAAAGAAATTGAAACTGATCTGAGAAGAGGAAATTAAAAGGTACTCGATTGGATCACTTGCAAATGGAAATGACAATGGCTTATACCTCATTTTGAGAATAGTGAAGCCAAGGAGTATTAATATTTTAAATATTTGTATGTTAAATTATTTGTTTAATCTTTACTTTTGAAATGGTTGTGTTTGAATAAAATTCAGTTACTACCATAATATTTGAAGTGGCCACTTTTTAGGGATTAGGATGTTATGTGTGTGAATTTTAAGAGTGGAGTTATCACTTTTTTGTAAGTGGATAGACTTTTTTAAAAGTGAGAGTTTAACCTCTTCTAAGATTCTATCTATTGAAATTTTATAATGCCACGTATTTAAAGGGTGAGGGCTGCTGCCTGAAGACCTTCCATATATATATATATATATATATATATATATATATATATATATGTCTGTATATATAATAGATTTGGAAGACTAGGTGAGGGCATGTAACAGTGCTACCCTAGGCCCCAGGGGTATAGGCTGGTGAAACCATAACCCAACACTTGGTCCAAATTGAACTGTGGGCAAGGATCTTACATCCAAGGAGCGCTAAGGCTTCACTAAGACCATTATGGAGGTCCTTCTGTTAGAAAAGAAAACAATCTCAATCCACTAATAATAATGAAAGATGAGTCTCTTCCAGTCTTCAAAATAAGTATTGAGTTGAGAAAAAACAAAGGCAAAAGAAGGAAATTTTGATTGTTCAAAAACTGAAATCTGCAAATTGGTTAGGCTAAATAACCAAATGTATTTTATGATAATATCAGTCACAAACAAATTGAAAATAAAGGGTAAAAAGGGATAGGATATGGGAACACTATTGGTAGTGGGACCAAGATGGCCCCATAGATTACTCTCTCTATCTTCTGTTAATGGGCTAAATTTGAGCCCCTAATTAAAATATTGAAACTTGCAATCTTAATTCTTTTTTGGTGCGAAACGTTATTGAAAATTTGGTAAAGTTTGATATAGATTGTAGGATTGTAAAGGTGGTCAAAATATGACAGGTTGTGCAAGATCTCTATTTGATCTGACTGATGAATCATACAAACACTCATTGGGACCCGTGCACCTTGTTACGCAAAATTGAAGTTGAAAGAAACTTGTGACATTTTTAATTGAGTTAAGTCAATCCACGTCAAGTCAAGTATTATATTTTTGAGTTATGGTTAATTGTTTTAATCATAATTCAAATTGAAATTCTATTCTAGTGAGAGTGGCTAATACAAATGTTAATGGGTCAAGTTAGATGGTAAATTTGACTTGAATCAGCCCTGCACGGTGACTTTAATCCAAATCGGATGCATGTTTAGCTGGCTTGTCCCATCAGGTCATAATATCCCTACAAATATAAAGGGTATTCTTCTAATTTATTTGATCTAACTTTTATCCCCTAACCTTAAAGTTTAGGATTTCTTTCAATGTTTGTTTTAACCAAAATCAGGTGTAGTATTAGGTTAGAGTTTTTCATTATTTAAACCAATTTGGTTTTAAGTTTGGTTAACCCCAGAAATTGGGTCATAATACCTTTAAACATATAAAGAGTATTCTTGTAATTTGGTTTGACTTCCAACCCCTAACCTTAAAGTATATGATTTTTTTTTCAATATTTGCTTTTGGTTATTTTCTTGTTTCACTTTGGAGAAGTGATACCTTGGAACCCATAAACCAATTTACAACTTAAATTAATGGCTGTTGAGTTTTCAAAAAGTATCACAAAAATACAATTGAAAGACTATGGGACAAGTTGTGTCAATATCGAGTTGAACCCTATAGGTCAGCACAGGTTAAAAAACTGCATAGTATTGAGTCAAGTTGGGATGGGTTTGAGTGGAAGCATGGAAGGATCGAGTTAGGGTTGAGTCAAACATGTGCCAACCTACCGAACCCTATAGGGTTCAACCTAATACTAACCCAACCCATGTCACAATCTTTCAATTGTATCTTTTGTGACGCATTTTGAAAACTCAAGAGCTATTAATTTAAGATGCAAATTGGTTTATAGGGTATTGGCTTGACATCCTTATTCTCCTATGCTTTATTTTTATTATGTATGGACTTTTTTTAAAGAAAATGAAGTGGAAAGAGCTCTATGAAATTCTTAATTAGGTGTGATCATGGGCCAAGTTAGGCTATGGGCCTACTATAAAGTTTTATTAATGCAATTATTTTAAAACAGAATTTAAATTAATAAAAATTAGTTTTAAAATTAATAAATTTCTCATAGAAAAATTAATTTTTTAAGATTGATACTTTTTATTAGTTTTATTTATAAAAATAATTTTATTATAAAATTAATTTTGTTTATAATATGAGTAATTTAGTTGGACTTTCAATTAATAAAAATTATTATTATTATTATTTTATTAACAATTTTAAATTAATTTTTATAATTTTTAAATATTACTTAAATAGATTAGAATTATAACTTTTATAGTTTTACTAGTAATAAGAATTAATAATTATGCTACCAAATTAAGTTAACTAGGATTGTTAAACCGAACAAATAAGTTACCTAATTAAATAGATAACCTAAAGCAGACTTGTTAATTAATTTGCACTTATAACTATTATATAATATACGGAGCTATATTGGCATCAAACTAATGGACACATATGTAGTATGGGCCTAAACTAATGTGTTAGGCTAGAATTTTCAGTCCTTGGGTTGGGCCAAAAAACTTGGGCCAGACCTAAACTTTGGACAGGCTTGGGTTGAGAGGTCTCCAGTAGTTTGAGCCCAACCTAGGCCTGACCCAACCCAAGCTTTCTTGAACCAATACATACAAATGTGTATTATGTCTAAGTAAAAATTATCTTTTCAATGTATGTGTACATTTGTAAATGAGAATCTATAGATATTAATTCTCAATGAATTTTACTCTTAATTTGGGCCATAAAGCACAATAAAAGATAATACAAGATGGGTATATATATTCTTTTTTAAACCTAGTCAATCTGCCCAAGCCCAATAAACCCAGCTTAGTCGGAGCCTAATTCGATTGTGTTGGGTTAAGCTCAAGTTGGGACAGGGTTGATAAATTTGGCTTAACCTTGGGTTGGCCTAGGCCTGTTCCTAAGGTTTGCACCTTTAGAATTGGTCCTCGATTGACCTACAACCCGACCCAACCCTCTTGAGTTGCACCCCTAGTGCTTACTTGGCTAGTAAATGGGCTAATCAATTTATTGAATAAAGTAATTAAGTTCATAATAAATTAATGTTAACTAAATTATTAGGTTAGTAAAGGTTAGTTTGGTTAATTAACTAATTTAGTTTTTGATAATTTAATTATGTGATAATATAAATTTGTGATAATTTAGTTGGCTATAATTAGATAATAAATAAGATACTTTAAGTTAATTATGGGATAATTATGTTACTTGATTTTTTAAAACCAATTAAATAATTATGTTACTTTAAGTTTTTTTTTTCCTTTTTTTGAGTCTCTTTAAATTGTTTTCTACTAAAATATAATAATTCATTTTATGATAATAAAGTAACTTGACATATTGCACATATGTATTAAAGGCAAATAGTAAAGATCAACTCCATATTTTTTTGAGTAGGAGTAAAGATCAACTCCATAATGTAATTAATAAAAAAAAGTGAAATATGCATTGTTATTGTAGAGAGAGAGAGAGATGCCTATATTCAAGGGATTTTAAAAGAGGAAACTGCCCATAGGTGGAAGATAAAGTTTTTTATGAGAAAGTTAAGCCCAATTTTCAACAAACCAGTGAATATGGAGTAAAAACAGGGAGATATTTTAAGAAAGAGATCTTAGGAATATGAGAAGTGGGACAAGACGGATGGGAAGGGGAGAGAAGCTTTAGGAATACTTTTAAGTAATTGGAATGGGAAGAGAGAGGAGTGATGACATGACAGATTGAGAGTGGTGGGAATGAGAAGGGAGAGAGAATTAAGGATAATGCACGAAAGAGGGTTTGGATAAAGGAGAGGCCTGGGAGGTGTATAAGACTTCAAAGTAACACATCAATGAACAATTATGTTCAAAGGTCACATTGTTAACTGGTTTATCTTAATTACTCTATTTTACATTTCTCCAATATATCTCAATGTTGAAGATGCCATATGAAACATATCCTTTAAAAATATAAAAATCACTATACAACTTGTAGCTAATTCTTATATTTTGCATGCTAGAATTTAGGTGATACAAACCATACATAAGATTGCAAAATTAAGTTTTTAATGACTCAGAATTGCAATCTCTTTTTAAGAAACAAATTATAAGTGCCAAATGAGTGAAAGGATACATCCTCAAATTTGAGGGAGGTTATGTAAAATTCAATACTTATATCTTTTTAACTTTTCTATGTCAAGTAAGAACTATTTTGTACATCTGGACCACAAGTATAAGAACTACCAACTTGTAGCTTTTAGGATCTCTGACTCGTCGCAGTAGAGATGATATACCCAGTATCGGGTATATCGTATCATATCGTTGGAGTTTCAATACACCTGTTTATAGGTGTTTTGAGACCCCTCTTGTTTTAATAAATA